AAGGAGAACGCGAAATAGGGGTGGATCACCCCCGGGGTGGGAGAGGGAAGAGGAGCAGGAAAACTGGATCAAACCCGATAGGAAAGTCAGTTTGCACTGGGAAAATCTAGAGATTGTGTCTAAATAACTTTTCCCTGGAGTGATTTGTACGTCTTGCTTTCCTCTCTAGTTTGGTTGGTGTTTTAAATTGAGGCTCTTTCCTCATCTGCTGGGGTGAAGACACTCGGTCCGAACAACGGCCCATCTCTTCTTGTAGCAGTCTGTCATTTAAATATGTATCTATATAGGTATGCATACATCCAGGCATATACCTCTGGATTTGTTCCCCCCTTCACTTCCCTCTTCCCTTTTTAACAAGAGCCTGATAACGCGTTTAAGGCTTGTTATTTGAACTCTCTGATCAGCATGCAGAAATGTAATTGCAACGTTTTTCATCAGGAAAGAAAAGAAAGGGAAAAGGGGGAGGAAATCCCCCCGCTCCCCTTCACACCCTTACACACGCAGGCACCCAGTGCTCTGTAATCGCTGAGTCACCGTATTGGGGGGTCAGTGGGTAAACACGAAGGAGAGAGCAGCAGCTTATTGAAAACCCTGGCGCAAACCGCATCCCTCCTTATCTCCAGACGGTAGATCCCTCCCCTCCTTCTTCCCCTGGATTTATTACTCCGGACTTGGGAAAGAGTGGCCCGAGTGCTGCCAGAGCCCTTTTTGTGACACTGTATGTCCTCCTCAGGCGCAGAGGGACCTGCTTTGTTCCGGCAGGGTGGAAGGAAGAAATTCAACATTAAACTGCTATTTGGGCTGCCGGGAATAGGCGTTGTTTTGTGGGCGAGAGGGGAGAAGGAGGAAAAGGGGGAACAACGGCCAGTTCACCTAGGGATATAAAGAAATCTTTCCCTTTCTCTGGGGCTGGGCTCTGATCTGGGCATATTTACTTCTGTTTAAACGCTATTGTTCCTGCCAGCCTTTGACACAAACAGAAAGGGGGGGGGAGCCGCGGGGGGGGGAGCCGGTGGTGGTGTCTGGAACAAAGATGCTCAAACCCCAGCAACCCCCAAAGGCAGAGGAATACTTCTTTTTTTCCCTTTAAAAACGTATGTGACAAGTCTTTCTCTTTGATGTTGCTTTCTGGGTTCCCCCACTCGCCCTGTGAGCTGAGTAGAGTGCCTGGCTGTGATTCACTTACCAGGGCCCGTTTAGAGAGGTACATGTCCCCCCAGTAGGTGTCAGGGAGCCTTGGAGGGACAGCTTCTCCAGCCCCTGGGTCTGAAGGAGAAGACTTGAAATCGGTTTGTGGCAAGTCCTGCAGTGGGAAACAAAGAGGCAGAAATGCTGGGAGCCCAAGGAGGGCCTGGAACACAGAGAAGCATTGAGCTTCCCAGAGATGCTTCAGCTTCTCAGCGGGGGACAGAGCAGAATCCTTTTTGGGCCATCTCTATGCATTTGAGGGCTGGACTGTACAGCCCACATTGAATCAGAGTCATTGTGTGTAAATGAATAAGTGCACATTGTTTTGAGATGCTGCTATTGTATTTGGAGTTGGGGGGAGGAGAAGGTTATATTTTGTGTCTGTGTGTGCATGTGGGTCTATGTGCTTGCGAAAGGTGAGTGCAGATTGCAATAGTTGCTGCTCTATTTTTGTTTGTCAAACAAGGCCCTTCTCTTGGGAGAGGGGCATGTGGCGGATTCCAGCCCAGGATTACATTAATCAAAGCATTATTTCCCCAGGGATGTGCAGCACAAATGATAGTAAATCCTAATAAAATTGGATCGCTGAGAAATTGAACGCTTAAAGTAATCTGCTCTGCCTGATAAAAACTTCAAATTTATAAGATATTATGCATCCCCACCCCCAAACACCTTAGGTATCATCACTATGTGTGTATTATACAACTATCTGTAGGAGAGAAATCACTGTTCAGTTTAACAGGCCCATCACTATTGAATATATACATAGATATAAATGTGTTTGTATGAGCATGTACACAGATATTGCCCACACACACATGTGCAGAGTAATAAAAGAAGCTAAAATATTTATGCACGTAACAATAATGACTATGGTCAATATTGTCAGGACTTCACAAGCAAGCAACACCTTTGCTGTGGCAGGTGCTGTAGAAGGCTTGGACAAGGCTGTACATGGTTGTGTACCAGCACTATAATCTGGCCTGGGGACTTAATTCTCTCTTGCTTTTTACTGATACTCATTATGGACCTCCATGATAGCACCTGTGGTCTCAAGCCACTGAGCAGCTTTGCTTTTTAGACATGGGACCTCAGGGATGGTATGAAAATAATAAAAAAAAAAATTAAAAATATGTGAACATGAGTATTTGAAGCTGACTTTAGAAAGCTTTTGAGGGGATGAGCTTCAGAAGGAAAATGTGTTGGACTGGATGGGAAAAGTTGAAGGAAGGAAAGGTATTCCCAGGCCGGTTATTAAGTCTCAGACATGCAGCATACTGTGCCCTCAGTCTTTCAGCACAGGGCCAGGCCACCACCCTGCTGGCATGGGCCAGAAAAGATCAGGGTAGCTGCTGGCCACTCGATAGCTTCAGACCCTCAGTCTCTGCTACTTCCTCTCCCCAGAAAGAAAGTTTATTTTTAATTGCTGCCATAGGACATAACAATAGGCTCAAAGAGATCCACTGTCCAGCAGAAAATTTGCTTTCCCTCTCCCCTCGCCCCCCCCCCCCCAAGATTTCTGTGCTTCCATATGTGTAAGGGGCAGAAGGCATTTCCACTCACCCAGCTGAAACTCTTTGAAAGGCTGTGAGCCTCCCCCGGCGTTATAAATGCCGATCATTCCTCCTACCCTCGCCGTCCCGGGACCCTGTCACCCCGCGGGAGCTGGCCCTGCCTCGGGCCCCGTTCGTCTCGCCCCCCCCCACACCCGTCCTGCCTACTGCTTTGTGGCCGACGAGTCCCGGAGTCCTCTCCTTGCCCCTGTCTTTTCTGGCATCGCTAGGCAGACCGAAGGCGGCTTATCCCTTTTCCCAGCGTGGGGTTTTCCTTTCCCGTCCCGGCCCCGGGGGCTTGCGGAGAAGGGCGGCCGGAGGTGGTCCCAACCCCGCAGCGCTCCGCACCCTGCCCTGGCCTGCTGGTATCTGTCCTCCCTGCCTGCAGACAAGGAAGCGGCGGAGGGGAGCTGAGCCCTCTCCCAACGCCGAAATGACGCAGCCCCTGTTCCAGCATCGTCTCCCGTTTGGGCTGGCTCCATTTCAGAAGCCGTCTCCCTCCACCCCCTTCTTCCCAGCCTTCCTCCTTCCTCCTCCTCCTCGCCTCACCGTCACTCTCAAACAACCCCCCCTCCCCACGCCTCGCTTCCCCCCGCCGCCCCAAACTCCTTCCTCAGGACCTTGGGATGCGGGTGAGCTCTGGTGAGAGTTGCCGGTCTCCATTTCTAAGCGGGGAGCCGCCGGGAGCGGTGAGGCAGCCGTGACGGGGGGGGAGCGGTCGGGGGGTTAGGGAGGCGATGACTGACGGAAGGAGGGGTGTCCTCATCCCCTCTCTCCCCATCTGGAGCGGCCGCTGCTCCCGGGAAGGCGCAGCCCCCGCGTCCGCCGCCCCGGCCCCGCGCCCCTCGGGGGGCAGCGCTGCCCCGCGCCGGCGCTCCCGCACGACTCCCCCGCGCGTGTGCGGACGGTGCGGGGACCCACTCACCTCGCCGCTGACGGTGCCTTTTCTCACACCCCCCAACGCCCCAAAAAAATAAAACGACAAACAAAGACCAACTATTTGCATAGCGTTCGGCACCCTCGCTCAGTATTTAGCCCCACTTTTTTTATCACCCGTCTACCTCCGCCCAGACCGACCCTTCTGCCCCACCCCACTCCCCCGCATCCCGGGTGCAACCGGATGGCAAAAATCAAAGCTGGCTCCAATTTACCCCAGTTGTCTTCCTTTGAACACTCATAAGGTAGGTATGGTGGGATGCTGGGCTCCCACTCCCCATGTGCTCAGTGAGGTGCCTTCCTCTCCACCCTCTCCCCCCGCTCTCTATTCCTTAATTGGCTGTATCTTGATGTGCACTTGTTTTGTTTAGCCTATTTTACCATTGCGGACGAGATAGGCAGGAAAAGGAGTGTTTGACTTGGTATGTCTCTGATTTTTTTTCCCCTCTCCCTGCCTTCCGAAGTTAATTTGCATTTGAGGTCTAATCCATGTTTCAAAATTCTGCCATTTGAGGACCGTATAGGAACAGGGCATTCGTTTCTATTTTTGAGGAGGAGCCTCTCCTGCATTTGCTCCTTTCTGTATAATTTCATTGTGTTCACAAGTGACAGGGATTTGCATCAGTTATTTTGCAATTTATTTTTTGAAAGAGTTGGATCAAATTTTCTTATTTTTAAAATTGCCGAGGGAGCAAATACTAGGCATTAGAAAAGGAGCATACATTATTAACAATGTTGCAAACTTAGTCACAGACTATATATTCATATATATGTATTAATCTGCATTCCTTGGAGTTGGATTTCTGCCTCCTGAACATCTGATTTTGATGAGAGAAATCAGTCAGAGAAAGTCAACTATACAAATGCTAAAGTGTATTTATAGTTCCTCACATCTATTTACAGGTGATTTTACTGCTGTTTGCCTCTTTTGCTACAGCACTTAGTAATTATTCACTTCAGCAAGGCATTTCATGGGATTAGATGCTGCATTACTCATTAAAGTTTTCAGTTTATCCAGGTGTAACTTTCATCCCTGGAAATAGCTATGAGGCCACGTGGACTTTATGTAAAAAGTATAAAATAGAAATGAACATATAAAAAGATTGGATTTATCCATGGTTCTTTCAGTTCTTTGGATGTGATGAAGAATCCATCTATGGTTAGGAGTTTATGGGTCCTTTAAGGACTTCTTTAGCATATTTTATTTGTATCTATAAAATGAATTTTCTTTTTGTATGTAGTGAATACATGAATGGCATATGTTGCATAATATGCATATGAGGCCTTTCAAGTATTTCTGTATGCACACAAATTTATTTTTCACAAATGTATGTGTGTGTATATGTATGTGTTTATACATGTGTGTGATAAAAAACATGCTGGAAGAGAAAACTGCCCAAAACAAAAAATATTCATAAAGGAAAAGTCATTAAGGTAGTTCACTGGGAGTTGGTATCTGGTACTTTGCAAAAATCACTTTAGTTTCAAACATTGCAGTAAATACCTTCATACACCCTCATCTCAGCATAAAAATCCCTCTGCGTGTATTTGCCCTTCTAGAACTAACTAAATGGGACTGTGAATTATGCCTAAAAAGATGCCACTGATATAAAAAACTTATAAAATAGTAATGGAATATGGAATTTTATATAGTGCCAACAACTTTAGCACGATTCTTGGCATAAGCAATTTAGAGCAATTTTATTTGTCTGAACCAGAATGATATTACAAAGTGAATTAATAGAACATTAGTACTGAAAAAAAGAAACAGTTCTTCCTTTGAAATATGAAGTGCCACTAACTTGAGATGAAACCTGAAAGTCAGTGAATAATATATGGGAAATATTAATATTTTAAATGTATCATATTTAAAATTGCTGTGAACTTAAACAAGATTTCATATCACGAAAAACCAAGTAATTCATTTTAGGTTCTAATCTTATATGCAATGTTTTACAAATGAAGCAACTCACTAAAGGAGAGAAGTCAGGTATGTAAGCATATCTTGTTATTTTGCACATGAAATATGGTCATTATGGAATATAAATTTAATTTTGGAAATGATAAAAAAGAACACTTATTTTATTTTTTCTACTATGATTCAAGAAAAACATTTTTAAGCAGATGATTAATTAGATGAAATGGACTGATATGGCCCATAATACCTGTATGGGCTTTTATACCTTGTGAAACCCCACCACAATGGGACCTTTATAAAAAGTATGAAGTCAAGTAATGCAATCATATTTTATATTTAGAATGGGAGCTGATGTGATTCAGTTTAATGTTGTGAAAAAGTGGGCCCTCTGGCACTTGGCATTAAATTATTTTAAAATTACTCCTTCAAGTAAAGTTAGTAGAAAGACTGTACCATGGTTGAAGCCCAGCACTAAAGCTCAGGGGCAAATTGGGTGCTACTCCTTGCCTTGCCATCCGTTCAAGTGCAGACAAGGTGTTACCCTTGGTCCTCTCCTTAGTTCAAGGTCTATTGGCTCCAGTGTTTCACTGTCCTTCTCCAACGAGTGGGTACAGCTCAGCATCTGGAAGCCAAACCTGTGCTGCTCAAGATGGGCCAAATCTTGCTTGTCCCATTCATTGAAGCTACGTGGAGTTTTGTTTGATTGGAATGAGCAGGACCTAGCTCTCATTCTGCTCCCTGAAATATTTCTGTTAGGCCTTAATGTCAACGGAGAGATTATTGTTACATTTATATGACGTGAATGGAGTTAGGTATGAGTGCCACACATATCTTGCCTTTATGCCTCGGCTGTCTAAGGGTTACATCCTACACACTTTGGCTAGTGAATCAGGCCAGCAATAATTGTGGTCACTACATATTGATAAGTAGGACATGCATTACTGAGCATTTTGAATGATCAAAAACCCCTTACCTGCGTCTTTGCATCAATGGGAAGTGCTGAATGTGTGTGAGTTTAGCAGAAAGGGCAGTTGTGTGTTCTTGGAAAGACTTAAGGCTGCCATGAGGACTGTCAGCACTTGTGAGGTGTCTTGTTGAAGGACAGCAAAAGCCTGGTTAGTCTGTAGACTGGTTCCCACAGAGCCAGTTGCTCCCACCATGAGCAGGCTGCAGGTGCCACAGACGACAGAGTGGTGTTGGTAGGGAGGGCACGCAGTTATCACTTGCTACACAAGCGGATCTTTTTCTGTCCAGTTTTGGCCAAAGCTCTGGGACATTTGCTATGGTTCTCTCAATTATCTCTCATTAATTTCAGTAGCTTGTGTTTTCATTACAAATGCCCAGTGTCCTTTGGAAACTTACTATGGGTATTTTAAATTCAGAATAACTGTGGTGAGAAAAAACCCATGCTTTTCCCTTCTAAGCGGCTTTACCATTTAATCACAGTTTGTTTAAATATGCTTTTCTCTGCTGTGAAATAACCTTTCTTTCCACATTTATGCGCACAATCCTAACTCATAGCAGGAAAAAACATTTTAAAACACTGTGTCATGCTTATAGGATAATTATTAATCTTGTCAGAATAAAAAGCATACTAAAAGTATTTCATACAAAGGTTTGTGCCTTAACATTTTTGAAAGTTTTTTTTTTTAATAATCAGAGATGTCATAACAGGGGGAGAAACCATATATAGCATGTAGTAGAAGTATAAGACTCCTAGAGGACTATTTAGAAATACACAAAGCTTTTTTTTTCTCCTTTTGGTTAGCATACTACTTGATGATAAGGTATGTTTTTATTTTTATTCCTGCTTGTATCTTACAGTTCTATGAAGGTGATGGGAAGGTACAAATTCCAGGCTTTAGTTGTTATATATGATATAAAACTAAGAAAGAAAAATGTTCATGATACATATCTGGAGGAAGAAATACACAATAATGCAATCCGAAAGAATAATTATTTGACAATAAACTCAATGTTAAATACAAGCAGAGTAATATTGTCCTAGTGAGAAATATAGCAAATAAAATGATACTACAAAAAGACACTTATGAAACTTCCTCTATGTTTAGAACTTTTCCAGTTGAATTTTCCTTTTTAATCATTTGTTACTATTGAGATATGGTTAGTGAACAAGCCAGTCAAAACTTTTCTGTCTTGATTTTCTTATCCCATATCTACAAATCCAAAAATGCAACTTGTAGTAAATTCACTTGATGTTAGGAGGGTCATTTTGCTGCTTGTTTGCTTGGATTTTGCTTGGGACTTGGTTTTGCATACTCTAACTCATGCTGAAATTTCTGGTGCATGTGAGCAGTGTTTATTTGGTCATCTACTTATTTTGTGCAAGAAGGACAGCTTTTTCATACTGGGGATTCTGATAGAAACAGAGAAGGGATACTGCAGGAAAGTGACTATTTTTCAAGGGTATTGGGCATTCATGCCTTCATTTAACTTCAGTGAGAACTGTGAAAACTCAGTATTTAAAAAAAGTGGCAATTTTTCTTCAGAAAGTCAAATGTCATGGAAATTTGACTTGTGTAAGTCTGGCTATAATAAATAGTAAAATTCTATAGCTGGAAATGTCTGTTTTTATCTTTGTGTGGGTTTAGCATTAGCTATACATATATAAAATGAAAATGTACCTTTCCTCATGTGATAACTGTTTGCTTTGCCTTTTTCTTCTACGAGGTAGAAAAAAATTATTAAAACACTACTGCCCTGAAAAAAAAAAAGACAGAAACAATAGAAATCATTGTTCACTGTTCAGTTAAGAAAATAAGTCTGTAAACTGCAGAGGGTGAATTATGATTTTGTAAACTGCTGATTTGCCTTTCTGAAATTAGGATTCTTGTACTAAAATCTCTTAGCTATTTTCATAATTATTAGGAAAGAATAGGATGCAGATTTCACACACCTGTTAGAGGGACAGCTTTTTGCACTGTGACACTCTGAAACCTAAGGAAAATATACCAAACTTTTCGGGGAGCCATCAATGGCTGGGGAGAGGAGGGTATCTGCACATGCTTCTGTGCCAGTGAATGCTGTAGCAGGTTGTGTGCACTGGGGGCTATGGGTTTTCTTTTCAGAAGAGGACTAGCAGAAGAACCAAAACCCATGACTAGTTATTGATCAAAGTCCCCTCAGCGCAGGACTTTCAAGTTTTGGGATCTGTTTTGACTGCATAGTATTGAGCTGCAACTGGGAAAGGAACATTCCAAAGCTCTTTACACCCCTTGTGCCCACATTTGAGAAATAATTCCGTTGTCTGAAAGTGGTGGTTGAAGCCGTGACCCTCCTCCCAGCAATGCCCAAGACAAGCTGGCCCCACAGCCCTCAGCAGGAGCTGGGGTCTCTGGGATGGGAGGGCTGCTCTGTTGTGCGGAGCCCATAGGGACATGGCTTCCCTCCACATCCCGATGCCAACTTTGCGCTTTGGTTTTGTATCTAATCTCTCTATTGCAGTTTTTAAAATTTTAAATCCTGGCTTCAGTTAGAGATGATTGGACTGTGCTCAGCACTGACTGTCTTGATAGGTTTGAAATTCCTGGAAAACCTCAATACTGGCATTTTCTAAAAACAGTAAGCAAAGCACACTGGAATATTAATAGGTGAAACATTTTAAAGGGGCAACATCACATTGTAATTTTGTGAGTTAAAACATGTTGGCTAGGGGCAGCTTGGGGGAGTTGCGGTAAAGCCACAAGTGTTCTTCACAATTTAAAGCTTTTGCATTTTAATTATTTCTTTTTTTTCTGTCAGTGTAAAAGATCCCTGGAGACAATGGGGCTGTGACACTTAGCAACAGGTTATCCTCAATGTGCAGGGAGCACCATAAAAACCACAAAATGGACACACAGAATAAAAAACAACACCCGCTTCCCCTCTTCCTGGTTTCTTTACTTTCTGGTGTTAGAGTAGTTACACTGCATCGGCGGTGGGTAAAAAGGAAAAAAACCCAACCAAACAGATGGAAATGTTGTCTCTAAGCTGACAGAGCCTCTGCAAATTTGCTTGAAGTACTATCTTAAAATAATTATAATAATACAACATTCTACACTGTTCTGGAATTTATTTATTTAAACACAAATTTATGGAGCCGGTCACACTAAAAATTGGATAGTTTGGTACTGTAAGTTGCTTTGGTATATTTTTCACCATTGTAATGAGCTGCAGGGAAACAAAGGAGGATGTGAATATAGGGCAGTTGGTATTTTGATTTGGGTGGCACTTTCACGCGTTGAAAATGTCTTTTAAAAAAAATCTGCTTATCTTCTATCATGCTATTGAATTGTAGAAGGTGTTGAGATAGAGTTGGAATTATTTAATAACCAAAACTAAGAGTGTTTTCTTGCAGTATATTTCCTATATTTCTCATTGCCAACCTCTTGACCGATAAGGAATTCTAAGGTCCAGGCTAAATTCACCCATAGGGTAGAACGGGCTGTTGGAGAGTGAGATGATAGATGGATCTATTCCTCACCTTCCAAACCCAGTTTCTTTATAAAGCAGTAGAAAACAAACCTTTTCATAGTGCATCGAAAAGCAAGCTCAAGAACAACACTACAATCACACCTTTCACGGTATTTTTTTTCAGGCATCTGCCCCTGATTTTAATCCAAAGGAGCTGCTTTTGGAACTGGCGTGTCCGGCTTTGGTGTTTGCCTGCTGAGGAAGAGGTATGCCCTTTGTCCCTCACCTGCAGATGGCTTGGATGCTTTTACTTTACCAAGGCAAGCACTTCCCAGTGGGCAGCATTCAGAAAGTGCTTTTCATAGCATTAGTACAGAACCAAGTTACAAACGAATATTAATCTAATACATTCCAAAATTCAAATATGTGTGATTAATAAGCATTATTATCTATAAATAAGGCTCTAATGATACTTTGGCAATGTTGTAAACACAAGAATCAGAAGCAATTATTGTCATTATTGTTCTGCAAGTACCTTCCATGAATACCAAATGGATATTACTGTCCAGCTCTTTGGCACATAGAAATCCTGTAAAGAACAGTTGTCAGTCAGTAAGGCCTGGCCGGCTGCTGTTAACTACATTTGTTTAAAATGTAGTGTACCTAAAGACAAAGCCAGCGAGTTATTGAAAGCAAGATGACTGATTAAAAAAATTATTCTTTGTCCTTTGCAATGCCCAAAATTATGTTAAATAAAGCCTATGACAAAGTTTTCCCATCCTATGAGATTAACTGTCTGTGTGATGGTTGTGATTAAAAATGGAAATGGATTCTCTGACAAAAACACTGCCCTTCTTTGTGTGAAAGACACAAAGGTGAGGATGTCCCAGCTGAAAGGTGGTGTGTAAATAATGACAACATCCCCCCACTCTCCAGCTGTAAGAGGTAACTCAGGTCTAGTTTTCAAGGACACAAGATGAAAGGGGTCTTGATCCTCGTCACATTTACCTCTCCCCAGTTTGTACAGGTCCTATAGACTGGAGTCACGCTGGCGGCCGGGTCCAACTCTCCGTGACTCCCCCACTCTCCTGCCTTTGGCAGTCTCACCTCCCTCACCAAACCTTGCTGCTTTAGACGGCGCCAGCCAGCAGTAGCATTTTGTGGTGGGTGTTATGTTGTTCTTCGGATGCCAGGGTGTCATTGGGAGCGGGAACAGTGTGGGTCTGACTCTCCGAATATGCAGAAAGAAAAAGTAAAAAAAAAAACCAACCAAATCCCAAACAGTAAGCTTTACTTTCCAAATGTGTTCAATTCTTCTTATCTCTCCTTGATATTTGGGGCGTGCAGCACCCTATACCATGTGGTTTAACATTTTGTTCTCTATTTGTAGGTCAACATTTCCATGATTAAACTTCATCCTTTATTCAGCCTGTTCTGGCTAGGCTTTGCAGCACATGTGATATAAGCTGTTTTCACAGCTAGTAGGCCAAATCTTACTCTGAATAAGGGAGCCAAACATATGTGACTGAGTCAGACACTTAAATCAACTCCTTGGTAAATGGGAGATAACTCCAGGTGCAGTGATGAACACTGAGAACCAAAAAAGTGGGAAGGGTGGCCAGCGTTCCTCTGTGTAGGAAAGGAGACATCCTATGCACACCGGCAGTGAAATTATAGCCTACCCAAATTTTGCTCTCCTGCCTTTGTCTGATGACACAGAGCCCTCTTCACTGAAGTAATTGGGAATTTTTCCATTCAGGGTCAGGCCAGCCTGGGGTAGGCTCAGCTGCAGCTGGGCATGGAACAGGCTGTGCAGGAGGGGGACGAGGCAGCAGGAAGCGAGCCCACCTTACATTCGTATCAAACACAAGGTTGCTGGGGGAACATGGAGCACTTCACCTACAGCATTATGTTTCCTTCATTGCCCTCCTCTCATCTCCCTTACTGATCTCATTTACAGACCAAGGCTGGTGGCTCTTCTTTCGCCTGGTGGCAGGTATCAGTTGCTCTAAGTCCATGAAGTTGGACTGGGCAACCTATCCACTTAAATCAGTGGAACAATTCCCAGAAGCACTGCCATCCAGAGTGAGTGTGACCTACCAGTAACCCTTGGTGCAGAGGATTTTTGTTAAAGGACTCTGCCTGCAGGGCCAGCAGCCCTCCTTCTGTCCTTCTTTGCCATTGCCTGGTAATTCTGTTAAGTTCTGGGAAGCCTAAAAGGTTCATCAGGCACAAACAGAAGTGTCGGAGGAGGAAGGGATGTCATAAATTATCCAGACCTGCTGTGTGGTTGCTGTGTGATGTTACAGCCTTCACCAGAGCTGGACTGGTCTAGGCTGTTGGGTTGCTCTGCAGCAAGTACCAGAGTGAATAGCAGGAGAGCTCCTGCAGGAGGTCCAGAGAGGACCTATATTCCTCAAATGGACATAGCTGTACCCATAATATTATAGAGAGAGGACTGTGCTTCATATATAATTTGGTGATGAATTGCAGCATCACAGAGAGGACTTGACAACAAACCATTTCTGTAGGAACAAGCACTTCCAGAGCTACACTGGGGCTGCTTCCCTCAGCTAAAGGAAATACAGGCAACATAGCAGGACTTGCAGTGACTTTTGTTTTTCTTTTTTTTTTTTTTTGTTTTAATGGCACCCATTCTTTAGGTTTTGTTCATTTGCTTAGGTTTTTTCAAATAGCTTTTTTTTTTTCATTTAGGAAGAAAATCATATCCTGCCCAAAACTAAATCTGCTTGCAAGATCTTTAGTGAAAAAGGTCAAATGGTGATTACTGTGGCCTTTTGAGTACTGTGTTATTCATAGTTTAGAAAGTCCTGTCCTGATAAGACGCACAGTAGACAACACATATAAGAAGAAGTTTATGCACTAGTCTGAGGTTTTGAGGACATGCCTCATGGCTGGGCAAATCCCTGGGCATTCATGTGGACATCGGATCCACTTCCCTACCATTACATGGAAAGAAAAGCCTGCTGGCTACAAGATGTTGCCAAGGACTTCATAGAAGGCAGGTGCCTTCTGTGCTTGTCATGCTGTTAAGGGATGCTGTGCAGAATGAGGCACAGAAGTAGATGATCTGCTCCAGTGTGTCTTGGGGACATGGAATGGTGCAAGGCAGAGGTAGGAAGAACTGCACACTCCTGGAAAGCAAGAGGGAGAGTACCATGATTCTGTTCTCACTGGAGTGAAAGTTTATCAAGAATATGCTGGAATAAATCACTATGTGCATCAAAGATACATTGGTATCAAATTAATGGAAAGGAGAAGGGAATTTAGGACAGCTAAGATCTTCTGATAGGGTCAGGTGACCTCCCTGTCCTTAGGTCTCCATTTTGGAAAGACAAATTGTACTTTGGTTTCACTTTTAAATGTGTAAGCCAAATTGTGATGCTTATAGAGACCAAGAAGATTGGAAGAATATGGGGAAGCCCTGTAATCAGGGAGCGAAACGATTGCAGCAGGGTACGGTGAAGTTAAGCAAAAGAAAATTAGAATTTTTCTCTCCAGTTATTTAGACAAAAGAAGTAAAATCTCCATTTTCTTATGCTTAAATAACAGTCTCCCTCTTCCATGGTATAAAAGATCCCAAGATCATGCAGGAATGAATTAAGACTGTGGTAACAGGCATGATTTCAAGTTAATGAAGAGACAGTATGTTTTGTATTATCTTTTCTCTTGTTTTTGATTGCCGTTTTTTGGGGGTTGATATTACTGTAAGTAAATACATTTGTCTTTTGTTTCATTTTCCCCCTGTGACCTATTTCATTTAATTAGAAGGAAATGCATAATACGAAAATGAGTATCATCACACTGGGCTCCATCCAAAGCCCATGAAATCATCAGGAACCTTTCCCGGGCTTTTCACCATTGCTGCGTCCAGCCCAGCAGAAAAGAGGGGCTATTTCCACCTTATCTGGAAGAATGTATGCTGTCAGTGTAAAAATATTACAGTTCTTATTTTAAGGTCTGGCCCCAATACTAGGGAAGGATTTTGCTACTGCATGTGCCTCTCTGTGCCACATGTTTCACATCTGTGGCAGCACATTAAAGGATAAAGGTTCCTAAAACTTTACCTCTGAATATACATATAAAAAGAAGATAGAAATTAAGGAAAAGATAAAAGATATTGATGGAAGTACAGGAGATGCTCTTTAACATGCATATTATTGACTCAATAGATTGTTACGGCTTCAGAGCTATTAGGGTCTGCTGTGTCAATGTGTACTTAGGGACTGTTTAATATGCAGATGGTTGACATGACAGACTGGAACCATTACAGTCTATCATGTCAGGGGGGATACATGAATACGCACTTTGCCAACACTGTAAAAAGTCCCTTTAAAATGCAGTATCTGTTTTTTACAATAATTTAATAGGTTTGGTTCTTTGGATGCCTGGAGACTTGAGAGTCTGGATTTATCAGCAACAAAATTTATTTCCAAATTAAGTCATTTTCCATGTGGAATGTGCAGTCTGGAGGACAGGGTGTAATCTCAGATACACAGCTCCTATCAAATCTTGTAAAATTAGCTACTGCACTTGTGCATGTGTAGAAGAGATCAGAATCTATCTGTCGGCATGTGTCTTTTTGAAGAATATAGTTTTGTCTTTTTGAGGGGTAAGGGAGAATGTCGTCTCATTTTTCATTCAAATAATCTTCAGTAGCAATTAAATAGCTTATGCTACCTAAGAGATCAGTTATTACAAGATAAGCAGCATGACAGTTTGGAAAACTGAATAAGTCTTTGATTATTTACTAAGTTTTGATATCTGCTATTTGCCTCAAAATGCTAAAAAGTGAAGTATAAGATACAAACATGAAAGGCTCATTTGATCATCATAAGGAAAGGAATCAGTAGTTTTGCTTTTCTTTTCCTCAACAACTTATTTTTTATTAAAATAGCAAAGCCAAGTGTTGTGTTTAATAAGATATATTTTTTTCATTTGAATATCAAATGGAAAAATACAATTAAAATATTTCTGCTTTTACATTAATCATAGGCTATATTTCAGCAATGCATATATCTAAGAAGCTCAGCATACACATTTGGTATATATTAGATTCTTCTAACAGATGCCCAGACCTCTTCCCCTGATTTTTAATGTTCTTTCTTATGGCACTGGTCCAGGGACATTTTAATTTGCAAGCCTGTGAACTTGGAAATAATACTTGTAGTGGGGCATTATGTCTAGTCCATTCCCTCTAAGTTTATTGTCCTGTGTCACCTAGCTCTGATTTTAGCTGATTTGCTGAACTGGGTTGCATGGTGCAATTACAGCACAAAATTCACTGAGCAAAAGCACTCTGCCTTGCAAATAATAGTAATTGTGCAATATTATAAAGATCTTTCCTCTTATCTGTGAGAGAATTGGGGAACAAATTCCACAAAAATTTGCAATTTTAGGCAAATGTGATGGCTGATTTCTGACAGCTCCTTTTACTGCCTGGTGCTAACGGGGAGACCATGGGGGCAGTCTGGACGTGGTGGTGATGGGCGAGTGTGAGGAGGTAGAAGGTGCAGAGAGCACATTTTCCATAACCTATTACTCAAGTGCTCCTGGGTCTTCTGTGAGATTTCTGCAATGACACAGGAAAGCCAGGAAAAGCTTAGGAAAAAAGAGAGGTCTGAAAAAGCCCAGGAGGTGGCTTCTTCTTATGCTGAATTCGCCCTGTGCTCACAGAGAGGTCCCTAACAGAGATACCTCTCCCTGGTGCTGAGTTACCTCTGCAGCAAAGGAGGACCAAGCAGCAGAAGCCTGAGCTGCAGGAAAAAGTGTTGTAGCTTCAAACTGCATCAGTACCTGGGGGGAAGGTGAGCTTTGCTCCCTCCCCAGCTCTGGGATGGTGGGCACATCCTTATGGCAGTGGGTTGTGACCATGGCTGTGGGAGTGGCAGCTCCTCCAGCCCTTCTGCCCCCACCTCTGGCCTCATGTGACTCTCCAGGCCCCTCTGCCCTTCTCCTTCCCCAGAGCAGCCCCAGGGAAGTTCCACATCCCTCTCTGTGTTGCCCATGTGCAGAGAAACATCATCAGCTGAAAGAGGCACATATGAAGGTATTATGTGAAGCACTGTGTTACCTGGTGCTAATCAATAAAGCAAAAATGTAGCTTTTTGACAGCACTTGTAATTTTGACTGTTGCAATGGTATGCCATTTCTTTGAATGCAGTACGCTTCTGTGCCCCATTAAAGCATGGCTGGCATCGCTTTCAACTATTCACAAATGCTGAGATGTTGAAAAATGTAACATTTACAAAAGATACATCTGGTGTATATTTACGAGGCTCAGGAATCATTTAAATAGTGCCTGTGCCATCACCATATTAGGAGAAAAGTTAGTCCCAGCCACATATGTGAAATCAGTAGTCAAATGTGTGCTGGTTGAAAGTCCATTGCTGTGATATGGTATTTTGGGGTATTAAACGTGAAAATATCAACCTGAGTAAAATGCTCAAATTAGATAAATATAGACCTGCATAACATATGTGACAGCTACCTATAGGCACCTGTATAAACAGTGTGGTCAAAAGAGGGTTATGGGTTTTGAGGGATAAATGCTTAAATTTTTTTTTAAGTAAAGCACAATCTTTGGCTTCTCATTGTCAAGTGTCATCATACCTTTGTTCCTGTTCTTCAGTGGGAATTGTAAGACCTACCTTGGAATCGAGGAAAAAGCTATTGAACAGCTTCCTTTATATCACATAACATGTCAAGGACAAAAAGGTGTTTGTCTCCTCCTGCCAGTGCAATACCACTTAAGTTACATTTGTAAACTATTTTTTAATTAATGCGACGGGTCATGTTTTCACCACACTAAGGCAGGAAATTCAAGGTAAACCAGATACTCCCTTTCTCCGTCACACAAACATGAATTAAGCATGTAGCATCAGACTTAATTTCAATTTCTAGGTCTGTAATTGAATCTAGCTCAATGTGAACTCTTTTTTTCTGTACCATCACATTGATATCTGGATGTTAGTGACATTATTTAAAGCAACAAATCAACCTATAGGACTGTGTTCAACTATATGTCTTTTGACAGTAAATGGAATAAAAAATGTTACTTTTCTCTAGGGGCAAATTTGTTAAAGGGTTTTCATCTTTTGTCAAGATATTTAATCTTGGAATGTTACAAAAAAAATGCACAGTTTGTACAAGTGCAGATTTCTGCATGCACAGTTTGCTTGATTGCTAATTTGGCTGAACACACTTAGCTTTAGCACACACGAATGAGAGAGGAAAGATAATTTTTGTATATATCCTTCTGAGTCAAGTGTGAGTCGCTGGACTCTAAGGGAAGCAGGTATCCACTTTTGGGGCTGAAGGCTGTCACTCTGGATCACCCTGTACATCAGTCTCAGTTCCTGCATGCCAATGAGTACAAATCCTAACAATGAGCTGTTGAGTGATGCCAGCAGAAATGAATGTTTCTGAAAGCTTCAGGGTTTTTGGAGAAAGCAGCTGAAGCCAACTCTGTGGCACTCACCACTGTTGCCTAACTGAAGGAGGGCAAGATTTTGGCACAAGCCTCCCATATAATGGACAGATTTGAACACACCTTTGTTTTTAAACAGGCTGAGTAAAGCTGCTATGGGACTATAGAATTAAGCCAAAATGCCCAACCATGTTATTTCCTCAGAGGGGTTCACTAAAGAACAATTTCAACTAAATTATTAACACTACTAGTAATTATTATTATTAATTCCTTTTGGTAAGCCTGTCCTTCCATCACAGTAGCAATCACGTGCTGGGATGTCTACTGCTTAGGACATCATACTCCTTTGGAAGTGGATGCTTGTTTAATTGATAGATTGCAAAGAAGGTCTGACCTATTGCCTTTTCATGTTTTGCTTTGTTTCAATTGCCCGGACTCTCACAGCTCCTTAGTAGCTTTTCTGATCCATCATGTCAGGCTGGCAGCTGTGCCTCTGCACTGAGCCTGCCTGCCCACCGTGAGCCAGATTTCACTCTCAGATGCTTGGCATACCCTCCACCCTCACTGTTCTCTCACTGGAGAGCTGATTTTGCCTTCACCTCTATTAAACACCTTGGTTTTAATGGGAACAACTGCTTTCTCTCATGGGCCCTCAGTCCTGTGCTCTAGGTGTGCAAGGACAGAGGAGGAGGGCACATTTCCAGATGGCCCTAGGTGTGTGCTACGCATGCGGGATCAGGCTTCTTCCTGACATCTGCAGACCCAGCCCTCTACCCGTCCCAGAAAATGGTCCCACTCAGAACCATGAGCATTTTAATTTGGAGATGTTTTCCCCAGGCTGTGTAACTGTTGCCCTCACTGTGGATTCTCCACTTCTCTTGAGCCTAATTTTCTTGGGTCATGCAAACCCACAAAGGATGGCATCTCAAATGAATAAACTCCATTTTACATCAGTCCACCCGAAAAATTGTCCTCAGAGGTTTCCACCCCGTCCCCAACATCAGGAAAAAAAGGTTGAAATTTTATAAGCAGATTTCCAAGCAGGAACAGATTTTTTTTTTTACTGCCAAGCTGTATAATAGGTGTTTTTGAGAGGTCGTTAACTTGAACAGTATAGTCAGAAACACTGTTACACCCCACACTGCATCCATCGTTAAGCAATTAAGTTACTGATGGGCTTTTACATTTATTTACCTTGATGGAAAGATATGTTTACTGAACCTGAGTACAAATCAACATGAGGAGGTGGAAGTTCAGAGTAAATTTGACTAATGATGTTGTGTTTTCATCCTTAAAAGAAAGAAAAAAAAACCCTCTCTGCTTTTGATGCTATTTTATCTCAATTGGAAGGGATCCGAAATGATCCCAACTGTCATGTGAGCGCTCAGTTAGGCTTAGATCCTCTTTGATTGCAGCTGAACATCTCTCTCCGTTGGCTCATACCTTTCCTTATATGAATACAGCATACAGCACTTCAGGTTGTTTACTGAACCGCACTTTAACTCTTCCTCTGTGAATGCCCTCACGATTATATCTTTAAGCAAAATTTGTGCTGTGGCCACCTTTGCCTGAGGAGATATTAATGCGTCCTCATTGCTGATGTGAAGGAACTTCTGAAATACAAATAAGAAATATTTCTTTCATGAAGCTTAATTCTCTCTCCTTTTTTTCAGGCCCACTCTTTTCTCCAGTCTTGGTATGTGGATTTCTCTCTCTCCAAGTAATTCCTTAGCATACCCTTGAATGGCATCTACCACACGTGAGCATCCTCCACAGTCTCTAAGATACTTTTGTTGTTTTTCTTCTTTGAACATTTGTTTTTTTGAGATGACATTGACAGACATGAGGCCTAAGTCTGGAGATGTTCTGTGGGTAGAACTCACATTTATTTCAGTATGTCGAGCAGTTTTAAGATCTGATCCATATTGAAGACTAGCATGGCGTAATGAGGCCTGGGCATATACAACAATATGTATTCTAACACAGCTCACTCAAAACAAATATGTTCCCTTCTCTTTGGCTGGTATAAACAAACAATCTCCATTGTGTTCTGCATGGCTCTGCTGCGCCGCCTTGCACATGGCAAGAGCTTGGCTTCCCTGTTCACAGAAACAGCGTCTCCGTTCTGCGACGCGGTGCGTGCCCAGACAGACCTGCAGCTTAGGACGCTGGTCCCAAACTGATTGCTGCTCTGGTGTTAAGTCCTAGGTGAGGGAATGAGGGAATTTTTCTTGTGACAGATGTACTTACACAGGGTCTTGTTTCTGAGTCCTGTGCACTTCAGTCAGACAATACCGACTCTGGATTCCACAGCTGGAAAGCAGAGAATCCGTTGTTGCAAGATTCCCTCACCTTGACCCGCAAAATCTTATATCCTTGCAATAAAAATCGTCAGCTTTGTGAAAAATTCGTGATGACTCGAGGTGGAAACATTAGCAGGGGTGAGCTCAAAACTCATGTGTGAGACCCATTGTCTGTGTGAAGCAGAGTGAGTTTGAACCCAGGTGTTCCTTCTGTGATTGAGCTCAGACTTTTATGCTATTTTACAAAGCCATTACCCTCTCCTGTAACTTGTGCTGGAAGCAGAGAGAGCTGTTTTGGCACTGAAATGATTTCATTGTTAGGCTAAGTGTTACACAGATGGCATTCTTAAATGTAAAATTCTTTTTATGATTCTTTCTATTTCATATTTATTTCATTAGATCATTATTTATGTTAAAGAGTCACTATTAATCTGAAACGTGCTCAGCTTGAAAGAAAATGTTGAGAGGAGTTTCAGGTATCTGATCCTCAATCCTTTAGTTTTTGTGTTTTGCATTTTCCTTCTTAAAATGGTTTTTTCTGTCTCTAGGTGCTATGTGACAGATCCACACAAACAACAGAGGGGAAAGAGCCTCACTTAACTGATTAGAGGAGAGAAGCAGTGAAAGGGAATATGCACAAAGCACTGCCAAATTCACAGAGCAAAGGAAAAGATAAAAAATAGAATAATTTCACTGGCCTTTTTTTTTTTTTCTCCATAGAGTAATGTAAGGTATTTTTTATACTAGTACCAGGGAAAGAATTTTCAGGAAAAAAATGTGATTTCTTAATTAAGGATCTCTAATTCAAAATATATTCATTTAATAAAGACTGATTATGATAGAAGCAACTACTCATTCATATCAATAATTCATTCAGAAGTAAACAATATCAACATATTAGCATTTATTTTTCCATTTAATAGGCTGTGATTTAAAATAAATCTAAATCATCATAATCATTCTGCTCCATATGCTGGGAAAGAAAAAGTCACCTTAAACCAGATGCATATTGTGGAAAAAAAGGAAAAAAAAGGAAAAGAGGAAGACAAGTTGTTCTAAAGAAACAGCATATGGGAGAAAATCTTAAGCCTCAGTAAAGATGCTCTGCTTTGTAGATGGCAATTTAGTTTTGAACTGAAAGAGGGTATGTTTAGATTAGATATTAGGAAGAAATCCTTCACTGAGAAGCTGGTGAGGCACTGGAACAGGTATCCACAGCTTCTCTGGAAGCTGTGGATACCCTATGTCTGGAATTGTTTAGGCCCAAGTTAGATGGGACTTTGAGCATCCTAGTCTAGTGGAAGGTGTAGCTGTGCAAGGCAGAGGAGTTGGACTAGTTGGTCTTTAAAGTCCCTTCCAACCCAAACAATTCTGTGATAACTATGATTCTATGATAGCAAAGCTGAGTTATGCCAAACAAGATTCTGGTCAATAATTTTCAAGAGCTAGAAGTCAAATACTGATTTCTTTCTTTTAGAAAATTAAGGGGAAAAAAAAGGATTTCTGTAATTTCCTTTTAATCAGGAAAAGGCAATAAATGTGATCAAGAAAAATTCAAGTTCGAAGATGTTGATGTATGGAAACAGTAGTCTGTTTGCAAATCCTTATGTATGGAAACAATAGGCTTTTTACAAGTTCCAAGTTGGCTCTGCACGTGTACCTGCTTGTGTGCTTGGAGCTGCATTTATTTTTGCTGTTGCTAATTACATAGCCAATGCCTCTCCTAACTTGTATCCTTAACTACCCACATCATTTTGTCAGCTGACAGCTCTTTTTCAGCTCCCAAACACATCAGCACTCCTGAAGCAAGCTCTGTTAAAAACTTTTATTTCTGTCACCTGTCTGAAGTCCAGAGAGTGGCATTTGGAGCCTGTGGATCAGGGCTGTACTTCGAATTTTTTTACTTTTGACATACTGAAAAAGGAATGAAGGGCTCAAGCCTGGTCAGCCTGTGCTTCCCTGCTACAGCATCTTGAGAAGTTGGTGTAGGTCTCCTCTTATTGCTTTTTTTTGTTTTTGCTTTCAGTAGGTGAGGCCAGAAGCTGTAGTGGGGAGTGGGGTGTCAGCGCTCTGCCTTATCTGCTCCCACCTCCAAGGCAGCACTGACAGCACACTCTTTGGGCCTCGGTGCAGCCATAGGGCCCTCTCGTCCTTGGGTGAGCTCAGCAAAGCCCTTTCTCTCCCCCAGACAGAGAGCCCTGTATTCTGTCAGGGAAAATATGACTGTGCATCCCTTCTTCCCCAGAATTCCAGCAGTGATGCTCTCGGGGGCCTCTCAAAGTGGTGGCTGCAGTTGCAATGCTGTGAGCATTGCAGGTTAGCTCTGCAAAGAGGTGTTTTCTTAGCCTCTCAGGTGAGTTTTGTCACCTGTGTCATTATCCTGTTACTCTTCCAAGATTGTTGTTGCTGTCCCAGCAAAGGCTGCCCAGGGATGTATTGTCCCAGGGCAGGCAAGTTTAAAAGGTATCTGGCTTTTGTTCTTTTCCAATCTCTGTCATACTTTATGCTGTTAATATTCCTCCGACAATTTTTAAGGGGAAAAGTGAATAATGTTTGATTTTCCATATCCTAACAGAGAGGAGCCATGTATTTTCCACAAGCTATTGCATTATTTCTCTCTCCGGTGTGGCTCTGATTTAGTGCTGGATGAAACTCAAAAGGAGGATTAGTGTAGAGAGACTCCCATATGCTTGGATGCATTTCTGAACTGTGTACTATCCTCACTGCTTTTGATGAAAAAAGCTGGGCTATAAACCTGATGAGAACAGGCTTCCATGCAAGATGTTTAGTATTTCCTGCTTCCATTTGGGCCAGGAATACAGCACATCCAGCCACTTTTGGCCCTGTAGCTCTTGGTCACAGGCCTGCCTGAAATTTAGAAAATCACAGTGGTGGAAAAGGAATGGGAGAGTGAAAGGAAGTTGATTTTTCTCCACTTTAATAAAGATTAGATTAGCGTTTTGTTCCAGTTTTGGCAAAAGCTTTGCTGGGGGAAGGGCACAGGTAGAATGTTTTTATATTAATGGAATTTGTTCATCTGTCTATTAGACGGCTGCACTGGAGTGCAAGTCCCTTTTTATGGTCTTGAGTAAAATAACTTGGGCTGCTTTTTAAGGGCTGTCCTTCCTGGGAAAATTAAAGCTGAGTGTAAAACTCTGACTATATTGTATTTAAGGAAATTAGGAGCAGAAGAAGGAAGCAGGATGAAGAGAATAGTGAAAAAGGGAGAGAGGGAGGCCTCCCAAAGATAAGCTACTACAGTGAGTTGTGCTACTGCTTGGTGCCACACATGGGGGCTTCACTATACCTAATACCTGATCATTTTTCTAGCTGGTAATTAAATTGTAAACAGTGAAACACAAAACAGCACTGAAATTGACTCTAAAACTGCTGGTATACTGCCATTTGTGGCTATCTTCTGTAGTATTTTCTTTTTCAAGAAAGAATTTCCCAATAGTACTGTTATCAGGCGATCATTTTTGCTGATTTTCCTCTCCGTTACAAAAGTTTCTGAGTTTGTGAATGAATGGCTATGAAGGGTCAAATCCTTTGCTCCTCAGTCTATTAGTAAACTAATGTTAACTTACAAGATTTGACTGAAACCTCAGGCTCTGCCAGCTGGATGTTTGAGGAGTCCAAGCCGGCTAGGTAAAGAAACACCTTTTTCACATGACCCAGCTCGGCTCCCGAGTTGCCCCACAAGTTTCTATCAGTACAAAGGCTGACTTTGTCTGCAAGGAGCAACTCAGATTACGGTCCCTTCCAGCTGCATTGCCCCTGACCCCAGTCCTGCCCCGGGCTGCCCACGCTCTGCCCTCCGTGCACACATGGAGGCTTCAGCTGCAGCTGACAGCGTTGAGTCTGCTCTTGAGGGTGGCCTTGGATGCGCTTTAAAAGGCAGTGCAGGCGCTCTGTGAGGATAACATGGAATGATTATTTTAGGGCAGATTTTTCCCTAAAAAAAAAATAGTCCTACATGTGCGCAGTTTGATCTTCACACAAAAGATTTATATAAGAACTCACTTCTCTCTGTCAGTTATAAAAAAAAAAAAAAGCATGCTGGCAGGATTTAGGGAAGTGTGCAGGCTAAAGGATAGAAGCAGACAAAAGGGAGTATTTCTTCTAAGAACATCTGCACAGCTGGAACCCTGGCAGTGCTGTGGTTTGAAAGCCTAGGTGTTGCCTGGCTGGGGCAAGGGACAATGTCTGTTTGGCACCCTCCTGACACGCAAATTTGGCCAGAGATTCTCAGAGCAGTACTCTGCCCTGTCCCTTGCTGTGCATACACAGATGCATGGACATTATTTTGCCATCAAATGCCTGTTCTGGGGGATCTTCCACACTGGAGGTAAACTGTACATAAATGATCTGAGGGTAAAGGTGAAGGGAGAAACTGTGATTTCTTTACATGCTAAAATAGATATAAACCAGGCACAGAGTTAACAGGAATAGAATATCTGCTGTGCCTCTAGATCAGCAAAAACCAAACATCCTTGACTCCTAGATGCCCAAAAACGTGCTTATAGCTCAGACTGGAGAAACATAACAATAGGTCTGTTAGAGAAACAGCCCTGAGAGCCTAGCAAGGATAGGAAGGCTCACTTGAGGCACCTGCATCCCAAATATCTTTGTAAGGTCAGATCACCACCTATGGGTAGAGCACTGGCTACCTCAGTCTGATCTGCTTTGTGGCATGAAGGAAATGCATGTGTGAGTCTGGCGTTGTCTGTCTCCAGTCTGGATTTTTGTCTGTCTCAGGCTGGCCCCATTCAGCCATCTCTGCCCTTGTTGGGGAGCGAGTCCCAGATCCAAAGACAGATTCTAACAATACAGCCTGTGTGCATGCCTCTAATATAACATGATGCTTATAACTGAATATAAACAGGGATGAGGCTTTAGATCTTCTTCAAATCTCACTGTAACTTTGAGATTGTCAGACAGTGCTGAAGTGAGAGATCTGGAGTAGGAAAATTAGTGAACACAAAAGTCATGATATTTACTCAGTTTATGCATTTTCTCTCTTTTTTTCCATAAAACCTGCATAACTGGCATGTAATTGTTTTGCTAAGTGAGTCTTGAAAGCAAAAGTCTTGATAGCTGTCACATATCTTCTTTGTAGTACAGTGTGTTGTCCTCAGAAGATAATCAGTAGAACTTGCTCAGAAAAACTTAATCAGCAGAACTGAGCACATTGTCAGTGCTTAACAAATAATAAATTATAATAATAACTGCAGTTCCTTTTGACACAACCTATCAAACTTTTGCTTTATTTCCAGGAGTATCTTACTTACCTCTGTTTAAGATTTAATACCTTCTACAACTCTGCTTGTTATGGTTGAGAGAACTGGTAATACAACCTAACAGGGTGGAAGTATTGACTGCAATAAAATTTTGACAAAGGGCAGAGACAAAATTCAAAGAAAATTCTTGAACTGTTCCTTTCTGCTTACTAGTGCTGCTTTACAAATCTTAAAATCTGAATTCAACAATAGATTTTATCTATTCTATTGTTAAAATGTTAAACACTATGCTTACAAGTTAGTAGAATCACACTTAAATTTTCTGACAGTCTGTTTTTTGAAACACAGACTCATTAGGCTTTCTTTACAGAAAGGTGAATGTGTCCAGAAGCATATCTCTTATTATTAATTATTTTTATTATAAGGAACTTGGATGGCTCAGAAAGTTGTTAACATAGCTGGGGCTATCACTTTGCCACCATTGTAGTTTGGTCTTGGCTTGGAGTTACTAATAATCATATCTTTTTCTGATCATTTGGCAGTTTTTATGCAATTTGTTGGTATGTTTTACTCACTTAGAGCAAGACACATATTCACGTCATAGAGAAAACCATCGGGTCAGCTCTAAGCTGCTGCTAATTGTCACAGGCTTAAATGGACGCGTTTCAATTTAACGCAGTTGAGGATCTGACCAATGATCACAACTGGCATTAATTAGCAGATGTGTTATCAGACTCTGTGGAGATGTCCTGGGTTGAGTGACAAGAGAAGTGCTCAGCTGCTGCAGCCGGTGGAGCTGTGCCAGTTTGGCAGCTGATGGCACAGCGCCCGACGCTGACAGGTGGAAAGGCCAGGTCACCCCTGACAGAGGCACGCTGGTGGTCTCTGTCACCAATCTCCAAGTAGAAGGAGCTGCAGACAGAGACCAGAGCACCAGGCGTGTGGTTGTAGTAAAGCACAAACAACACAGGACTCCTGGGAGGAGGATAGCAGGCAGGGAATACAGGGAGGATAGGATGCTGAACTGCCTTGTCCCTGAAGCTGGATATGCACAAGACATTGCACTGCTCGAGAAGCAAAAGCCACTAGCAAATGTGTTGAGGCTCTGGCTTTCCATGTGTGCCATCTGATCTGACACTGTAATGCCAGTTGCTAGTGTGTGGCAGAAAGGTGAGGGAAACATATTTAAAAGCAGGGGATCCTGAAAAGCAATTGAATTTCTCAGAGACAGCTACTGAAAGTCTCAGGGCTATTATCGCTGTAAACTAGAGGTTTGGACCATGACTAGAAAAGTGTCTTGATCAGGTCATGGGGGTGAATGAAGAGCAGGAATGAGAGGCTGCAATTTTATCAGGGGAAAAGGGCATTTTTTCAGGGAAAAGGGCATCCTCCCTTTGCAGTTATCTGAGTGCTGTGTGGGTTAAAACCAGGCCAGTAAGCAGCCCAGATATTGCTCAGTAGCAGCCAGTTCCTCTTTCTCATGCCTACCTACCTTCACAGGATGGTGGCAGGAGCAGCTAATGGCATGGGGCCTTTGTAAAGACTTATGGTTTCTTAATATTTACAGGACAAAACTGGACATCAGGTAGCTCAGGGAGTAATTTTTTCAGCTCTTGACAGAGTTTGGAAATTAGCTTAACTGACCGAATGTATTTTGATGCACTGTGAAAAAAAAATTATTTTAATTGTGAGATCTTTCTGTCATAATCCAGGAAAGGAAAACAGCAAGAGAGTGAGAGTTCAACAGTACTGGGACTGGAGAAGTTTTTAGACTGGTTGCAGACCTCTGACCCAGCTGATAGGAAAATGCAGACTATCCAAGGAAGGCACTACCACCTGCAAATTCTCTGTTACCCTTTCTGCCATTTCTCCCACCACTCAAGGCAAGATATTAAAAGATGTTTATGCATCTATTTGCTGTGAAAAATCCTTCTCTGAATAGTTATCTTTGGGCCCAAGGCCATGATAGGGGATGACTGAGACTTGTGTGGGATATAGATGTCCAAGTCCAGGTTCCCAATCTACTCATCCTTTGCATTTTTTATCACCTGCATTTTTGATACAAAAGTTCTTAAGACATCTAGAAGCTTTTTTCTGCTCATGTCTCTTTGACAGTCACCAGCTCAGCTAAGTTGAACTTCCCAGCAGTTAATCCTGATTCATCTCCTCAAACCATCCACTGCTTCACCCATATGTCTTCCAAGAGTGTCGTGGTGAAGAACATGTAACACATGATCAGGATTGAGCAGTACACAAAGTACAGCAGCTGTGTTCACTGTCATTCAAAGGCATTAACTTCAAACTCCACCCAATCTTCAGGGACTTCAAGCCCTTATCTCTTATCTGCAGAGAGAGCAGGACCCTTAGGTAGGAAGCTGCATGCTAAATATTCAAGGGGGGAGAGATTTTTCATACTTCCTGCAGAAGTGGTGCTGACACATGTGAGGTTGCCTGGGAGGAGTTTAAGATAATGAGGTACAGAATACAATCTCCAGCCCTCCACTGCTGAATTAGCTTGGTGTTTTGGATTGATGCAAGATAGAGGATCTCTTTTGGTACACTCATTGCTGTGTAAGGTGTTTCTAAAACATTGTCTTCACAGCCTAATGAAAATACAGTGATTTTTCAGAAAAATCAGTAGAACATAACCTCAAAGGATATGATGATTATTGGAGTTTTAATTAAAATAGCAGGTAAAATAAGTATTATAGTGTGCTATTACTTCTAAAATAACAACAGAATAAAGATGCCCATTTCTTTTTTGAGTGCAATTTTCTAAATGAAAAAGTAAACATTAATATCAGCAGAGATCTTACTGATCTTGTACGATAATTTAGAAAAATATCCCTATTAGGGATAGTTATATATGCTTTTTGTTGGAAATGCAATCACAGGATATGCACATAGCTGCAATCTGTAGACAGATTAAGTAAATTAAATCACTCAATGTCTTTTTTCAATAGCTCTAAAGTTAAAAGTAATTTGCAAAGAAAATACTCAGTTTCAATTGGTTTGTAATATCTGTTAATGATCTTTGGAAAAATTTCTGATAACATGCAGGAATTCCCTCAGGGGCAGGGTTGTGAATAAGTGGATTTTTTTAAGTTTAAGATGTCATTAGCTAGTGATTTCTTTGAAGTAAAAAGCTGTTACAGAATAAATTGCAGAGGTATACAAGTGAACAGGACAATCATTTTTATGAATAATATACATTATTTCCACTGTGCTTTCTGGCCTCCAAAGAAATAATTTACAATCTAGCTTGCCATTACAAACATCCTGGAAGAACAACTGCACGAGCATTTTGTGCTTACTTTATGTGTATTCTTTGACTTTATGTAAAAGTACACCTTGATGGTATAAAATCACCAGTGTAAGGAGCTGATTTGTCCCTTTTAATTCTTTTTTTCTTTTTCCCCCAGGAGATAACTTTTTGAACCCACAAGACTGAAACAACTTCCCTTAACTGAAATGACCCCAGCAGAGCTATTCACTAGAAAACATCCTCCTTGATTTCTTGGGGGGCCCATAAGATGACTGAAGTTGTAGGTAAGTGCAATCATGTAAAAAAGTGCCTCTATTCTCTTGGTACCTTGTCAGCATGAACATATTCTTAACAGTTCAGGGATGAATCAGTTATCTATCATGCCCCACCACAGTAAGGTAATATGAGATAAGTCAATAATGACAAATGAGATCTCCTGGCGCTGCTCCCACCTTAGGATATCTCAAGTAGAAAAAAGTGCCAGAAACACCATAGAACACACTTGTCCAAGGGGAATGTCGTCCTGTTCCAAGGTTCAGTTAACAACTCAACCATGGGCACCTGAGGATGGACCTTCTGCTTCCACAGGTTCCTGTGGGTGGTTCTGGGTTTGGATGGGATAGAAGGGATGCAGATGTGGGTAATGGGGCACTGGGACTCCAGTGTGTGCTGTCACACCAGTCAAGAGATTGACCTTTTCATTTCCTCACCTTCCTCCAAACCTTTTTTGCCCTTTTTACCTTGTTGGACTTGGTCATCCTATTTCTGCAGACCTGCAGACAGAGCTGAAGACCCACCATGCTAGCATGAGTATGACTGATGCCTCCAAGGTTCCCATACAGGGCTGGAGGAGAAAGGATTTGTCCCATTCTAGAAAGAGATGAGACAGGCTACCAGTTTGAAAAGCCTCCTGGACTTTCCTGACCCTCTGATGACCCAGTGTGATGGTTTACCCTGTGTGAAGGTGCTGTCCTGACACTGCCTATTGATTGGCACGTACCATGAACCACTGGGATGATTGGACATCATTGTACAGTAGCAGCTAGTAAAACACAGATTTTTTTAAGGCTACAAACAACCATTATTATAATCTAGTCTGATCTTCTGCATAATGCTTTCAACTGAATTTAACCCAACCTGAGCTTTGTGTGAAGATTTGCTTTTATGCCTAAGATTGACTTCTTGTTTACAAATATGATGCTGTTTCTCTCAGTACTAACCATATGATAGCAAGTTCCATTAATTAGCTGTACATTGTTTGGAAAAGCAATTCCTTTCATCCATTTAAAATTCAATACCTTTTTGTATCACCTTGCAGGATAGGAAAGACTTTTTCCTCTGCTGCTAATTAAGTTCAAAGATCCTGAGGACAAAATGTTATTTATATTATAGTCATACTTAAGTAGAACTCTGTCGAAGCCTGGGGATCCCATCACACAATGTGAGGGAGACTATGCAAGTCCTTTGGGACTGAGACTGTTTTAATAGACACACGGCACATTTTCAAGGAAGATGAGTGATTAAAGTTAATGGATTGTTCTCTCTCAACCACCTATGCCTTTCAGAAGAGAAAGGTAGGGAAAAGTGAAGTTTCTAAAAGTTAGACCCGAAAAATGAGTTAGGAGTGTAGTCAAGTTCCTTGGAAAGGACTTTTCACAAGTGCATGAAGGTGACAGGACAAGGGACAATGGCCATAAGAGGAAGAAGAATAGATTTAGATTAGATATTATGATGAAACTCTTATAGTAAAGAGTTTCTAAGTAATGCACTGGAACATGTTGTCCAGAGAAGTGGGACGCCTCAGCCTTGGAAATGTTCAAGGCTAGGTTATAAGGGACTCTGAGTAACCTGCTCTAATGGAAGGTATCCCTGCTTATGGTGGTGGGATCAGAATTAGATGATCTTTAAGGTCCCTTTAAACTCTAACCATTCTATGATCCTATGATTTAACAAAGGAAAAGTGTTTCTAATATGTAGTTCTGTGTCCTGACCACTGTTCATGAGTCAGATTGGCCTCCAGTTGCTGAAAGTTCTTTAAAACAACAGAGTACACTGAGGAAAATACCTACAATATCTGGTTCATGAAAGGTCCCAGAGCTTTCCAGAACTGCTGGGGTCCAAGGACATTTTCTAGATTGTCTGAGACAACAGCATGTGTTCTAAGTTTATGGAGAGGCTTTGTTCAGTTCAGTATGATTTGGATCATAGACCTCTAAGATCAAGTCCAAACATTAACCTACCATTGCCAAGGTCTCCACTAAACCATATCCCTAAGTGCCATATCTATGAATGTCCCATGAGAATATATATTTTTCCTGAGAGACAAGGTGATTCTTATGTTCTTTCTCTTTTCTCAAGAAATTTCCCATCCTTTTGACTTTTATCATTTTTATTACCATTCTCTGGACTTGTTCTATTTCTACTTTCTTTTTTCAGGGATGAGGTGACCAAATTTGAAGACAGTATTCAAAGTGAGGATGTGCCACTGATTTATATAATAGCATTATAATATTTTCCATATTATTCTCTAAAACTCTTTTCTTTGTACAAACCCTGTAAGATTCTTTTAATTCTTTGAACTACAATGCCTTTTAACATCTGTAGTTTACTCTGATCAGATTTTAACAAAGGAATAAAAGGCTCCATTTTTCACATAGAATTTTATTTATTGTTTGAACTTTAGAGGAGAAATTGGTTAACTTACAATTTAAAATTCTTGGCAATGTAGACCATTGGGCAAGGATTTCATTATCTATATGTATTTCTATACTTTCTGTAGAAGTGTGTGAGGCTGAAAGTTAGTGTATAGGAGCTTCACTCAATAGGCTTGTCTTTTGCTTTATAGACAGGGACAAAACCTAATTTGGAGCTACCAGCATTCCCAAAATGTCAGAAAGGGCATTCACTTCTACCTCCTTCCTGATGAAACATGCTGGAGCCCAACATTTGCATGCTGTTTATCCAGGACCAAGTGTGCATGCAGCACCTGAATTTTGCCATCTCCCACATATTGCACCTCAGACTTCCATGCCAGGCCAGGGAAAGATCCCTTTGCAAATGATGCACTTGATGGCTCCAGAGGGTGAGGATCTTGCTCTTGTGTCATGGCTTGGCATTATGCCTTCACTGGGATATTAGAAAAGGCTCAGGGAAAATGGTTACAGCTATTCTATCACCTGAGACACTTCTGGCCGCTCCTGCCATTCCTTAGAATTACCAATCCAAGTGGTGACCCTGCCTGACCCTACTTATCTTGTAAAACCTGACAAGATCACAGCCTGAAGCAGTATAGCCACAGGCTCAATACTGGCTACCAAAGTGTCTGTTTAGTATTTTCAGAAACGTTGTTCTAAAGATTAACAATACCAGCTGCTAGATATATGGACAGCACCAACACAGCTCTGACCCCTGGACATTCAGCCCCACTTTCACAGAAATTTGTGTCTCTCAAGGGGCCAACACTGAGCTGCCACAAACTAGTGATTCTCTACCTGCAAGCAAGTGGATTTTAAGTACAATTTGATTATATATATAAGACATCGGGTAAAAATATTTGAAAACTGTGGTCTTGAGTTCAGAATTCATGGTTAGTTTTTTTAATCAGTTGCATTACTGCTT